ACTTATGTATTCTAGCAGAGATAATATTGATATATTGAATATGTATTATACATTATATCATAAATTTTCTTTTAGTATACTGTTATACAAAATATATTATTTATATAACATGTACTATTTACTACTATATGCATAGAAATAATATGTAATGAAATAACATAGCTCATATAGTATTTTAGTATTTCAAACACTACACTTATTTTTATATTCCAATTAATTTATATAACTTTATATAATCCTGTATACGATATGTCATAACTTTCTTTTTCCATAACTTTCTTTTTCTATCTTGTATAGCACATTAAAAGCAAGATTGGTCTTTTTTTTTAAAATTTAAATTTTATTTTTGTATTCCCCATACAATTGCAACCCCCTTATTTTGACCCCAAATCTCTCCTTTCCCCGCGCCCCCCCCGCCCATAGTGTGTCTGTGGTTCATAGTTGTTTGCTAAGTTTGATCTTTTTTAAGAGCTACATACATATCACAAATCACTCATTGAGAAGCAAGAGCGTTTCCAGTCTTTTGCTGTTACTATCACTGTTTCCCAGAATAATCTGGTACATATGTCATGAGAATAGCAGGTTCTTTGGGAGTCAGGCAGAATTGGAAAAAGCACCGAGGACTGTCAGTAGTAGTAGCAGACCTTGTGCTTGGGCATGTACCTAAACTGTTTCCTCTTTTGTAAAATAATGAATAAATAAATAAACAAACAAATAAGTTGGGAAAGAAAGTTTATGTAAAATGCTTAAGCGTGTGCCTGAGCCATAGTGAGCTACCCAGAAATTAGTATTAAGCAAGCCTAATACTTGCTTGGGGAGGCCTTGGGGCTATATTTCCGCTCTCATAACCAAAACAATCGTAAGTATAATTGTTACTAAATTAAACCAAAGCAGAACGCGCTCTTTCCGCTGAGGTAGTTTGGTCTCTCCGGGCCGCCGTCGCCGAGCATGCGTAAATAAACGTGGCGGGACGTAGGTGTCATGGCGGCCCCCATCTGAATTCCGTGCAGTTTCCGGAGTCTGGCGTGTCGATTCCCTCCTTCGGACAGGTTTGTTATTTCCCGTCTGCTGGCCGAGGGCGGCTAATGGATCAGTGTGGGGCAGAGTGTGGCCACAGATCCTTTTATAGCGGAGCCTTGTTTTTCCATTTTCACTCTCGGATTGAAGCCAGTTTGCTGGCTTGTTTGCCACTTAGACACTTGCCAGCTGGGCTGGGGGGATGAGATGCTGGTGGCGTTGCCAGAAGTGAGGACGGGGGTCTTGGGCTTCTGGTTCTGCAGGATCGTGAGAAGCATTTAAGGAACCCGCTTTCCGATTGCCAGATTTCATTTGTTTCCCCACTTTCTGCATTCGTGTTGCGGGGACTGAGCAAGGCGTGTGCCGGGTCTAGCTTTCATGGAGCTGTATCTTAATACTTTTATTTTTATTTCAGAAAATCCTTGTGTAGTTTTTCGCCATTTAGGATTTCTCCCCCCAAGTGCGGTCACGATCATTTTTCCATTAGCAAAGGGCCCACCGTTCTCTATTCTCTACTCTCCTCTCTCCTTCCCACCTCCCCTGTTGAGTTTAAATGAAATTGACCAGGACTAGTAGCTTGTTTCTTGTTCTCGTTGAGTCATTAAACCTCATTCTCGGATTCTCGGGGCCACACGTGTTTTTAGATTGGAAGGTGATCTAGATACCTACCTCATCATATTGTGCATGTTTTAAAGATTTATTTATTTATGCATGCAGAGTTGGGGTACAGGCCAGAGATGCGGGGGGGGGGTAGTGAGAGGATTCACCAGAGACAGAGTGGGGAGCAGAACAGTCAGACTGGCGAAATACACTGCTGAGGGGAGCAGCAGGCAAGTCAGGGGAGGTCTGCTGTGCCATGTGGGAGGCTCCCTGGCCGGGGATCGAACTTATGCTGCAGAGGCTGTGGATTGCTCCATAGTGCGGTGCTTAACCCCTTGCGCCACCAGGGAGGCCCCTATATTATGCGTGTTTTACAGTTTGTATTCACACAGGCTTGTTGGTAGTGCTGCATGATTTTTGTTACTATGGCCAGAAGCTGGATTACTGTCAAGGGAAATATGGCAGATGCCAACACATTTGTTCAAATCAGTCTGAAGTTGGCAGTAGTAAGGAGCATCCATTAACCCTGCTCTATCAAGTCTGATCCCTTTTAGGTGGAGCTAAGGGACCTTCCAATGGTTTTTGAACTTATTGGCAGCCTGCTCTTTCTAATTAGTTTTTTTCTAAGATTTATTTATTTATGTAGACAAGAACTGGAGTACAGGTCAGAAGCACCAGAGGGTGAGAGGATTCACCAGAGCTAGAGCGGGGAGCAGAACAGGCAGACAGACCGAAGACACTGCTGAGGGGAGCAGCGGGCGAGGCAGGAGAGGTCTGCTGCGCCAAGCAGGGTTCTCCCTGGCCAGCGGGGAATCGAACTGGTGCTGCAGAAGCGCTCAACTGCTGCGCCACCGGGGAGGCCCTCTATTTAGTTGTTTTTAAAAGATTTATTTAATTGAAGCATACAAAAACTGAGGTACAGGCCAGGGGGCCAGGGGGAGAGATGATTCACCAGAGACAGAATGGGGAACAGAACAGGCGGATGGCCTGAAATACGCTGCTGAGGGGAGCTGCAGGTGAGTTAGGGGAGGTCTGCTGCGCCATGTGGGTAGCTCCCTGGCCGGCCGGGGATCGAACTCGCACAGTGGAGGCTGCGGACAGCTTCACAGCGCTGTGCTCAACCGCCTGTGCCACCGGGGAGGCCCCTCTAAATAGTTTTTATTTCCACACTCATCTTTCAAGAGGATTTGAGATAATCAAGAGGTATTGCAGATGATCAAGGTACTCACTTATTTTAAACTTAGGGTTGAGAACCAATTTACACATTAGAAGGTATAGTAGTAAGATAGCTTAATTTCTTAGTAATTTTGCCACCATCACTATATGAAAATACCCTGATCTCCATTTCAAAATCACCTAGAGAGCTTGTTTCAGATTGCTAGTCTTTACTCATAATATCTGAGTTAGTAGGTCTGGAGTGGTGCCTAAGAATTTTCATTTCTAACAAGTTCGCTGGTGATGCTAATTGTACTGGGAAGACATTATGAAAAATACTGGCATGGGACTCATAACTATAGCTGTGCACATGAGAATTACAGGAAAGTTAAAAAGAAAAATGATGCCCAGGCTCTGTTCCCACAGATTCATTCAGTTGGCTTGGGGTTCAGTTGTTTCGGGGCAAAGCCTATTCAGGTGAATACAATGAATACTGAGGCTAGTGAACTTCTGTAGTGAGTCTTGGAGCTGTTTAGTGGAATCCCCTGGGCAGGCTTTCTGTTCCCATCCCTAACTTCCACTCTTGGAGATTTTAATTCTGAATGGGATCTGAGTATTTGATATTACGAGAGTTCTCCCAGTAAATCATCTATGTAAGTAACCACTATTCTAGGATACTGCATTCTCTTTTCATTATTTTCAGTATCTCCCTTTTCACTGACTACTTTTATGCCTGTTAACTAATTTAGTTGAATGTTAGATTTCCTCTACGTTGGAGAAAAAAACCTTTATATAATCCTATCTTGCTTTACATTTATTTATTTGCTAAAATAAGATATTATTTTAAAAACCATTTGAAAGACACAGATAAAGGAAGGAGGAAACCTAAGACTGAATGGTGCAGATTCCAAATCCATATTCTTTCTAACCCCCACCAATGGCCCTTGTGCCAGAAAGTTGTTTTCTTTGGTAATTCCTATTTTAGGGTCCTGAAGAGGAGATCTTTTCCCATAAGCCATCTTCATTGTTTTTTTTTTTTTTTTTTTTTCATTAGAGTAGAGCTTTATTTCCAGGAAACAGTATGTTAGTTGGAGATGGGTATTTTTTTGAAAAACATCAAGGTAGATCTTATATGTACTACAGAGTTGGGGGGCTCAACAGGAGGCAAAGTGAAAAGTTTCTAGTATTTGCTTATCATCTTGCTACAACCAGAAATCCACATGTGGAGATGGCATCTAGGAATACAGTCCTTTATGAAGTTGTTCTGTCTGTCTTTGCATCGTAAGTACTAACCATGGGTCTGCCTGGGAGAGCTTGTGCAACCAACCCATAGCTCCTCCTTGGATCCTCAGTCTTGGAAGGAGGCTCTAAATCTCTACGCTTCTAATGTTGACAGCAATGGCGTGAATGATTGGAAAGTGGTTTTAATTTTCTTTCTGGTCATTTAATTCTGTCACACTTAATGTCACTAAGGGAATGTCATCTTCTCGTCTGTCAAATTAAGAAGTTGATGAGGTTTCACAACCACTACCTGTTATCACTGAAGCCTCCCATGAGGTGTTCTTCCAGCCTTTCAGCCACACTGAGTGTGATTAGAAACAGATTTTATGGAGTTCATGATCAAGGGGACCTCAGCTTTGGTGTTGGTTCTATCACAGTGTGTCAGGCAGTAGCCCTGATACCTGTGTGCTTCAGGATCACTGTGTGAGAAGTAGTGAAACCGGATGCCTGCATGCAGCACAAGCCGCTGGGCAAGTCTGGCTCTTTGCTGCTGCTGCCTAAGTGGCAGGAGCGTTTGGAAAAAGTAGCAGTTCTCTGCTTGGCCCCAGAGCACTGCTTGTGGGTAGTGCAAGCGGCAGTGGGTGACGGGCTTTTTACTGCCACCAGTGGCCCCACTGGGGCTCAGGCTGCAAGCAGAGGCCAGCAGAGATGCTGCCCCTGGGCATGCAGCCCTTGGTTCAGGGCTGCTGGGAGGAACATTTGCTCCCATTGGCCAGCTCCAACCCTGTGGGTCCCTCTAGCTGTAGGCGGTGCAGAGGCCCATGGATTTGGTGCCTGGATGGTGGAATGGACTGATCAGGTGTGAGCTATGAGCTAATTGGTAAATGGTCCAATCAGCGATAGGATGGAAAATGGTGCTAGGCCGCCTCTGCTGCTTTCCTGTTATTCTTAAACTTTTATTTCCTTATTACGCATTTAACATTTTCTGGAGGCTTAACAGTTCCTACTACCAGTTTGTTAGAAGCAAAAACTTCATACTGATGAGTGAGATTGTTCAGGTGCTTATGATGTGAAGTCCGGCACAGGAACCTCAGCATTATATTCGTCTTCTATTGCTTCTCTAGAATGAATTTCTAGAAATGGAATGGCTGGGTCAAAGGATATGTATGCTTTAAGTTTGACATTGTAGAGTAAATGAAGTCAGGCTTTTACGCCCTCCTGCCTCTAGCCTCTATGGCTGCCACCTGCAGCCTTGATCGTGTTAATGCAGAAGGCGCTTGGGAGTGTGGGCGTGGGGCCTGCGCACCTTTGGTTAGAGACACCTGGGCCCAGAGAACTTGGACATGCGCATGTTTAAATAAATGTGGGCACCTGCGCTGAGAGCGAGGCCTAAGAGGGCGGCAGCATGGCGATTAGGAGGGCAGTGGCGTGACTCCAGGAGGCGAGCTGGCGAGAGGGGGACTGAGAAAGCTTCTTGTGGGCTGGGAGGCAGGTAGCCCGGCCCCCCTGCCTGCCTCCTTGCATGCCAGCCTCCCTGCTTGGTGTGCCTGTGTACCTGATTCAACATTAAAAGGCCTGTAAAATCTTTAGAGGCCTCCAGGACTCTCTCCGTCTGTCTGACTCAACAGTGAACCTGCCCTGTGCGTGTTTCCACAACTCATACGTATTTCCAGCTTGCTCTCCAGAAAGGTACATCAGTTTTACCATGCTTTCAGCTCAGCAGGGTTTTCATCAGTCTTTTTTTTTTAATTTGGGGTAGTTGAAAATTAATTGTATGAACACCATTAGTGTGTTTGAGCATTCTTTCCTACACTTTCCTATGCATATTTTCACTCTTTACATTGATTTGCCTGTTTTTCCTGTGCACAGCTTTTTTCTGGAATGTGTTTCTTAGGGTCACAGTAGACTTTGCATTGTTTGTGCTTTGCCAGCGAGAGGGCGTCATAGTGGGAGAGCTTGGTGTTGAGAGAAGGCCTAATTCTAGCTCTATCTCAGTACACAATTCTATCTTCTATGAATTTCAGTTCTGTAAAACAAAGCTTAGTATTCCCTGCTCCCTAACTCTGTACCACAGAGGACACCTCTCATCTTTCTTTTTCCAGTCTATTTCCCTTCAGTGGATCCACACACAATTATGTGTGAAATATGAAATCATTTTGTTATGGGGTCACATGCCTAGAAAACATCCACCATGATGTTTTTCCAGCACAGAACCCTATCCTGGGGTGTTTGCTCCTGTTCCTAACAGATGCTTAAATTTGACTTTAGGCAAAGGTTCCTTTGTTGTTTTGATTTTAACCCTGGGGTGGCAGGTGCTTTTAAAAGCCCATCCTTGGCTTTGGCTCAAGTTCTAGCCTCTCTGTGGGGAGACACAGATCTGATCTGTTTCTTCATAGGACTCACGCTCTGATTGTTTCTCTTTATTTTTTTTAAGATTTATTTATTTATGCATATAAGAGCTCAGGTGAAGGCCAGAGGTGTGTGTGGGGGTGCGGGTGGTGGTGGCAAGAGGATTCACCAGAGACAGAGGTGGGAGCAGAACAGGCAGATTGATTGAAATACACTGCTGAGGGGAGCAGCAGGAGAGAAAGGAGAGGTCTGCTGCTCCCTGGCCGGGGATTGAACTCGTGCTGCAGTGGCTGCGGATAGCTTCGTAGTGTTGAGACTTAACCTCTTGCGCCACCAGGAAGGCCCTGATTGTTCTTTATTGAGCACCTCAGGCTCAAGCTAGTACTCCTCGCCTGCACCCTCTCCAACACTGCATCCTCTGTTCTGGGCACCGAATCTTGTCTAAGGCAATGCCAGGTCCGAAGAGTTCTCGATGCTGGGGTGTGCCCGAGGCAGCGATGGTAGGAGTCTGTATAGTAGCTGGCATTTTCTGTGTGGATTGTACTGTGCTGGTGTCACTGTTACCACAGCTTTTCCTATTCCTTCCTCACTGTTGCTCCTAATATGGGCTGTGATTGTCCATTTTTTTCCTTCAGGGGTTGTTGGCTTTGTTCTGCTGCAGTCTGCTTGTGTGTCTGTGGAAGAGTCCAGACCTGCATCTTCACTCCACCATTTTGCTGGGCTCCCCTGGAAAATTGTTGAATTAAAAAAAGAGGACTTTCGGGCCTCCCCGGTGGCGCAGCGGTTGAGCGCTGGGTTGCGAAGCTGCCGGCGACCTCTGTGGCGCCGGTTCGATCCCCGGCTGCTCCCCGGTCACCGGAGGAGGGTCCCACATGGCGCGCAGACCTCTCCTGCCGCCCGCTGCTCCCCTCAGCAGTGTACTTGGGTCCTTCTGCCTGCTCTGCTCCCCACTCTGGCTCTGGTGAATTCTCTCACCCTCCCGCACTTCTGACTGTACCCAGTGCATGTATAAACAAAACGAACAAACAAACAAACAAAGTAAATAAATAAAACATGCCTCTATTAAAAAAAAAAAAAAGTTAAAAAAAAAAAAAGAGGACTTTCAATATTAATCTGTCATGTAATTCATAATCTGTCCATAGTTCTTGGTTGGCATGCAAAGGTACTACCTGAGCTCCTTTCTTACTTACCTTGACTATTTCATAGAGTAAGTAGTGATAGAAAAAACCTTCGGGGTTAGGTTTTTATTTCAACTTCCTACCCAGGGTGAGGTTTTCCGTTTTTCTCCTTCTAGGGTAAATGAAATTTTCAGGCTTTTTCTGCCCTGCTGCCATGAGCATCTATGACCAGCACCTAGGGTCTTGCACGCACACCTTCAACTATAGACACCTGGGCCCGGGGAGCACAGGGCACATGTGTATGTAAATGGGAACACCTGGGGCAAGGGGCTAGGGGCTATACGCGTGGCCTCACTCTGAGGCAGGACTGGCGAGAGAAGAGATGGGGATAGAGAGAGGAGAGGAGACAAATACTGAGAGAGAAAGCAGGTCTGTCCCCTGATTCAGCATTAAAGGCCTGTGAAAGTCTCCCGAAGGCTCCAAAATTATCTCTTCATCTGTGAGAACCGACAGTGAAGCTACCCGGCCTGGTGTGGTTGCACAACACTCCTATGTTCTAGAAAAACTAGGTAAGTTCAGTTTAAACATGCGTTTTAGTCATTCAGGCAACAAATACTGTGTTCCTGCTGTGCACTTGGCATTGCTATAGGTGCCATGAGTGTCATGGAGAAAAGAGATGATGCTTTTGTCCTTAGGAAGCTTGAACTGTAATGAGAAACACAGATGCAACAGTACATATGTGTCAGGTAAACGCACCATGGAAAAGGAAAGCATACAGCAGGGCTAGGGGAGTAAAGAGTGTGGGGATGCTTGATCAGTGTGGACTTATTTTAGATACGGTGGCTAGGAAGGCCTTTCTGAGGAGAGTATTTGAGTAGAGAGAGGGCAGCAAGCCATCCAAACACCTGGGGATGATATTCCAGGCAGAGGAATAGCAGAGATGAAGGCCCTTGAGTCAAACTCATTTGGCATCTTCAGGGGGAAGCTCGGAAAGGTTAGTACATTTGGGAAGGAGCAGGAAAGAGGGTGGGAGTAGAGATGGGCTGGATTTTGTTAGACTGGGTGGTCTACAGTAAGGAATATTGAGACCCTGCAATGGATTTGATGTCATTTTAAGCAGTACTTGGGATAAAGCAGTGAATAAAACACAAAAGCCTTTATTCTTATGGAGTATATATTCTGGTAGAAAGACATAGACAGTAAAAGATAATGAAAGCATCTCAGCAGGTGGTGAAGTGCTGTGGTAAGACAACTAGGCAGATGAAGTATGCGCACAAATTGAGTGTGAAGTTGTTCTCCCTAAATTACATAATTATGTAAACGAAAGGCAAATCAGTAAAATCTGGTTTGAAAAAGAAACAAGGCAGGGAGGTGGGGATAAGAAGTGTCTGTATACCTGGTGGGGAGGGAGTTGCTTAGAGGGCCTCCTTGGTCCCCTGGGAGCCGTGTCCCGAAGGCCTGGGGGGCATTCCATGCAAGAACAAGACCCTGAGTGTTGTGACCTGAACTTTGTTGCCACTTTGCAGCGGAAACACGATGGGGACACAGAAGTCATGGAGCAGGTTTGCAAGGCAAGACTCTGCTTGTGCCATTGATTGAAAGCACACAGGCTAGTAAAAGCTGATCGTGTGACAATGGTGTGAGGAATGAAGTCCAGAGAGTGGGATAGGAATGGGGACAAAATTTTATGAGGGACAGGGAAGGGGACATCGGGACCATATGTCAAGAGCCATTTTCGTCAGAAAAGTATTTGATGTTATCGTAGGCCGAGTTATTCCGAGACCACCATGGAGATAGTCATGTAATTAGGTCAACAGCGGCCTAGGCGTCCCTAGGCCTGCCTCGTGATACGAGCTGTACTCCATAGGTAGTCATGGAATGCTCTGCTGTGATTTGGAGATAGCAAGTGGGTCACAGTTGCCCATGAGTGGCCGGCTAGTAGCCAGCTCATAGGAAGCCACTCCTGAGATAGGTGTGCACCTGGTGGGGATGAACTAGGTGGCTGCCAGGAGTGAATGGGGAGAGTGGTCAGGAAATAGGGCCAGAGAGTTGTCAGGAGGCCGATGGCTTGTCCCCGTAGGTCTTTGTAGTGGTTTTGACTTTTTACGCTGAGCTGGGCTATCACTGGAAGATTCTGATCAGGAGCTTGAGATGAACCTAGGTTTTAATGAGCTCCTTTGCATCTGTGCTGAAAATATCCTTTGGGAATTAAGGGTATAGTGGGGAGACTTTCAACATAATCCAGGAAAGAGTTGACGTTGATTTGGGCCAAAAATATGACAGTGAGTATGGCCAGAAAATGGTCAGATTCTGAATATATTTTGCAGTTAGAGCCAGCAGAATTTTGTTAGTGCATTGGATTTAGTGAAGAAAAGAGAGGGATGGTTGCAGAAGTTTTGGCTGGAGCAGGTAGAAACTTGGCATGGCCTTTATTTTTATTATTTATTTATTTAGGTGTGGCCTTTAAATATAATGGGGAAAGTTGTGGGAGGAGCCGATGTGTGGGTAAGAGGGCAGAAGGGAGGATCAAGAGTTCTGTTTTTGACATTCTAAGTTGGAAATAACTACTAGACATTCAAGCAGGGGTGTTGGATAGGCGATTGCACATGAGTCTCAAGTTCAGGGGAGGACCGGTGCTGGTTATGTAAGCATATAGTTAATGTTTCAAGCCCGTGGTCTGTATAAGATCAACCAGGCAGTGCCTGTAACTAGAGAAGGGAAGTCTTGTGGCAGATCCATGGGGGCATTCCAACATGGAGATGTTGGAGACGTGGAAGAACCAGCAAAGGAGACTTGGGCCTGTGGCTGCTGTTCTGGGAGGAGGACTCAGTGGTGCCCCAGAAACTAGTGAGGAAAATACCTTAAGGGAATGGTTAGGAATGTCAAATACTGCAGACTGGGGTATATGAAATGCCCCAGAATTGATCATGGTGTATGTTGTTAAAAGTCATGGAAATCAGGAAGGCAGGTCTGGAGGAGAGGTTGGGATAGAAGCCTGGTTCAGGACACAGCCAGAGGGCAAGGTGCTGGATGTGAGTATCGGCAGCTCTTCTAAAGATGAGAAGTGTCATAGAGATGGCCAGTAGAGGAAGTGGGGTCAAAATAAGGTTTTTGACTTTTTTTTTTTTTTAAAGATTTATTTTTTATTTATTTATACAAGCACTGGGTACAGTCAGAAGCGCGGGAGGGTGAGAGAATTCACCAGAGCCAGAGCGAGCAGAG